TTTCTTTGCATACAAGCCTAGTTGCATCTAGTAAGCACTTCTAGCACTGCATCTGTTGAAAAATCTTGATGGGTATTCCATCAATTCCTGGAGCCTTGATTTTTTGCCAGTTCCTTCAGTGTAGCTTGGATTTTTTCCTTCAATACCATTGGTTTTTGATCATATGCTACCTCCTAAAATGACTGAACATCAACCAATTCTTTTTGTTATAGTGACTTTCCATGTTCTTTCCATATTCTTTTGATAGTTCCTTCATAGTTCAATATTTTGCACATAGAATCTTTCAGTACTACAATTTGAGTCTTGAATTTTTTCTTCAGTACTTTCTGCTTGAGAAATGCTGATTGTGTTCTTCCCTTTTGGTTTTCTAATTCTCTGTCTTTGGACATTTCATTATAATACTTTGTCTTCTTGAGCCACCTTTTGAAATCCCCTGTTTAGCTCTTTTATTTCAACATTTCTTCCTTTTGCTTTAGCTAATCTGTGTTCAAGAGCAAGTTTCAGAGTCTCTTCTGGCATCCATTTTGGTCTTTATTTCCTTTCCCGTCTGTTTAATGACCTTTTGCTTTCTTCCTGTATGATACTCTTGATGTCATTCCACAACTCATCTGGTCTCTGGTCACTGGTGTTCAGTGCATCAAACCTGTTTTTCAGATGGTCTCTAAATTCAGGTGGGATATACCCAAGGCCATATTTTGGCTCTCATGGACTTGTTTTAATTTTCTTCATCTTCAACATGAATTTGCATATCAGCAATTGATGATCTGTTCCACAGTCAGCCCCTGGCCTTGTTTTGTCCCATGATATTGAGCTTCTCCATTGCCTCTTTCCACAGATATGATCCATCTGATTTCTGTGTATTCCATCTGGTGAGGTCTACATGAATAGCCCCTGCTTATGTTGTTGAAAAAAGGTATTTGCAATGAATAAGTCATTGGTCTTGAAAATTCTATCATGTTTTCTCTTGCATCATTTCTATCACCAAGGCCATATTTCCTAACTACTATTGCTTCTTCATTCCCAACTTTTTACATTCCAATCACCAGCAATAATCAATACATCTTGATTGCGTGTTTGGACAATTTTAGACTACAGAAGTTGGTAAAAAAAATCTTCAATTTCTTCATCTTTTGCTTTGGTGGTTGGTGTGTAAATTTGAATAATAGTAATGTTAACTGGTCTTCCTTGTAGGTGTATGGATATTATCCTATCACTGACAGGAAGCCAGACAGAGGTACAGTCAGCCACAGGGACGCAAGTGGGGGTGATACGAGAGGTATCCAACAGCAAGACAAACTTGTCTGTCGGTTTGTCTTACCGTGGTGACATGTAGACGTGAGTTTTGAGGCTGAAACTCTGGTGTTTAAAACCCAGTGAGATGCACCTGGTGCACAGGTAACAGCCTAGCTTATAGACTGAGACAGACTAGGAAGAAGGAAGAGGCTATCCACTTCTCAAAGAATTGGCCAGGGAAAACCTTATGAATAGCAAAGAAACACTGTTTGGTACATTACTGCACACCTTTAGGAATAGTCCGTTTAGGCTAAAAGGCTCTCAAAATAGGACTGGGAAAGAGCTGAAACATCTGAGTAAACCCAGCCTTACTCATGGAAAAGAGGAAGCTTTCAAGACCTTCATTTGCTGATGTGGCACCACTCAAATTGAAGAGAAACAGCCTCAGACATCCATTAATCATCGGAACATGGAATGTACGAAGTATGAATCTAGGAAAATTGGAAGTTGTCAAAAAGGAAATGGAGCGCATAAAGATTGATATCCTCAGCATTAGTGAGCTGAAATGGACTGGTTTTGGCCATTTTGAATCAGACAACCATATGATCTACTATGCCAGGAATGACAGTTTGAAAAGGAATGGCGTGGCATTCATCATCACAAAGGATGTTTCAAGATCTGTCCTGAAGTACAATGCTGTCAGTGATAGGATAATATCCATACGCCTACAAGGAAGACCCGTTAATATGACTGTTATTCAAATTTATGCCCCAACCACCAAAGCCAAAGATGAGGAAATTGAAGAATTTCATCAGCTTCTACAGTCTGAAATTGACCAAACATGCAATCAGGATGTGTTAATTATCACTGGTGACTGGAATGCAAAAGTTGGAGAGCAAGAAGAATCACCGGTAGTTGGAAAATTTGGCCTTGGTGACAGAAATAATGCTGGAACTCATATGGTAGAATTTTGCAAGACCAACGACAGCATTCTATTTCATGATAGATTTTCATATATTCTTTTTGACAATGAATGTGAGACCATTCCTCTTCAATTTGTCATTCCTTGCATAGTAGACCATATGACTGTCTGATTCAAAATGGCCAATACTAGTCCATTTCAGCCCACCAATGCCTAGGATATCAATCTTTATGTATTCCATTTCATTTATGACAACTTCTAATTTTCCTAGATTCGTACTTGGTACATTCCACTCTCCAATTATTAATGGATGTTTGTAGCTGGTTCTTCCCATTTTGAGTCATGCCTCATCAGCAAATGAAGGTGCTGTAAGCTTTACTCCATCCACATCATTAAGGTGGACTCTCCTTTCAGGAGGCAGCTCCTTTCCAGTCATATTTGGAGTGCCTTACAACCCAAGGGTCTCATCTTCCAGCACTATGTCAGACAATTCTTCAGGGCTGTTCATCAAGTTTTTCAGTAATATATCAGAGAGTGTTTCACTGCTGTTCATGAGGTTTTTGCTGGCCAATTTTTTCAGAAGTGGATGGCCCTGTTCTTCTTCCCAGTCTGAACCTCCACTGAAACCTGTCCACCATGGGTGACCCTGCTGGCATTCAAAACACTAATGGCATAGCCTCTAGCTTCACATCAACATGCAAGCCACCACATTACAACAAACTGACAGATGAGTGGTGAAAGTACAGGGTTTAGGAGTTGAAAATATCTTTTGAGGGATGGACTTCAATCCATAACAAGCATTAGCTGTGCTACCACAGAAGATAACTTTGCACTGGGAGGAGGGAATGTCTTCTTAGCTCCCAATAGTGTCACTCACCAGTGTTCTGACTCACCCAAAGTCACACAGCTGTTACAGCAGTCAGGATTCCAGGAGTCCGGGATTCCACAGATCTGGTGCATAGGTGAGAGTTGAAGATTGTAGATTCGTATCAGTAATTTGAATAATTTTCATTAGATCCATTAAGGTTGTGCTGTTTTCATCATCCCTTCATCCCATTGGTAGATGAACTAATGCAGGCAGGAATCACGATATCGACACACAACCCTGGCACCTCATTGGAAAAACCTGGAGAGTTTTAAAAAATACTGACACCCAAACCCCAACCCAGGCCCACTCTTCACATCAGAATGTCTGCACACAAGACTCAGATAGCTATATTTTTATAAGCTCCCTGAGTGATTCAAGTGTACATCTATAGATTAGTACTTCCCTCTCCTAAAGGAGATTTGCATTAGTCTTCTGGAAAAAGACTACCAGACATTATCTTCTACTTTCAATTCTTAGATTTTTTTTTTTTTTTTGCCTTCTTGCAGATCAGAAATAAACCAAAAAAAAAAAAAGGAGAAAACATCATGTTGTGGGTCTTTCCTCTACTGTCTATAGTTTTTGTACACCCCTAAGATTTCCTTCCATTTGGAAAATTTACCTGGACCAAGGCTCCAAGTCACTCACATGAAGCATCTATGACTCACAACTCCCTCAATTCAACCAGTGTCCTAAAGGAACAGCCTTCTTAAATTTTGTTCTCAGATATTTCAAAACACTTTTGGAAGAAAACAATCAAACACAGACGATCATTTAAACAAAGTTATATAGGATCTTCCTCAAAAGGTAAAAATAAACTACACTGCCTAACCCTGGACTGGAAGTGCACAAAGAACACCTGCTATCACTCAGTGAAGGCCAGAAAAGAAGGGAAACCAAGCTGGCTGGCCCTCGAGCAATACCAACACCACATGAGTTCCTGTGGCGGGGATTGCAGCTCCCTCCCTTCTCTCTCTCTGGGTCTCAGAGTCCCTGCCACCTCAGTGACTGAGAGGGATCAAGAGTCACTTTCCTTCCCTCACTGTGTTGTGCAGCCCTGCTGGGCTTCTTTTTTGCTCCCTTTATGTAACATCATCAAGGCTTTGCTAGGTGGGCTGGGCTTTGTGCCCTGCTTGGATATGTTCAAGTCAGGCCTTTCTCTTCTCACATTTCAATCTCCTCATTTCTTGCCTTTGTCTAGGGTCTGATGGCCCATTTTGAAGCTCCTACCTCTCTAGATTTTTTTCTTCATGCTCCACCTTCATCTTTCTAAGTTTGTTTCAGGGCACAAATCTAAAGTGGTGCCTGAATCTTGCAAACTGACAGAGAAACTGAGGGGTGAGCTGAGAGGGTGTTAAGAGAAAACCAGTCTGTTTTTATTCTGGGCTCCTTAGGCTGTGGTTCAAGCTCATAGCTTTCTAGTAGGGAAGCAGGATTTAAATCTAAGGTTGAATGACTCCAAATCCTCCATGCTAGGTTAGGTGACCTGCCCAATACCATGCCCGGATTCTATCCCAGCTCTGTTGTTTTCATCCTTCAAGACTTGTGCTATTGTTTTTTGTTTGGTTTTATTTATCCATCTACATATTCACATTCAGCCTAAAACAGAATAGTCCTCACACAAGTTTGTTTTTGGACTGAATGTCCTAAATGAAGGCTTCTACTTCTAGATAATTGGATCCAAAATTGACAATCTCCTCCACCTAGGAACTGATGAATGAGGAGAATTCTCTGAGATGTTAAAATTCAGAGAGCTAATATTTTGGTACACTTTCTACTTGTTTATTCTCAAAGAATCAACAGATGTTTTCTGAGTCAAGTTCAAAGCTGTGTGTGTGTGTGGGCAGCGGTGCTGGTGAGGGTAAGCTCACTGTTTTGTGCACGACAGCTAACCAGTGGTACAAGAGAAGCCCAATCAGAGCCAAACAGGAGGTAAAGGCAAAAAGTGCAGCCATCATTTCCTTTCACTTTCCCTTGCAGACCTAAACAGCAACTCCGAGGGAAAGGAATCATCGCCCACCCGCAACCGCAGTGCCAGATAAATCAAGTGAAACTCAAGTTACAGGCTTCCAACCGGGTTTGGAGGAAAGACCGGACTACCATTGTTGGGAAGTTCTGCACTGCCCCTTTGCCTGTCAATGACAGGTACGCCCCAGACACCAGACTATCCCCAGAATCCATCCTTGTCCCAGACATACATCAAGGACCAATCCTGACTTTATATGTGTTACGTGTTAAGGTTCAATGTCATCATGATGATTAACTTCTTAGAAGCAGAGATAATAAAGACCCAGCGTTTTCAAAACTGCTTCCTAGACCTCTTGCAGGGCCATCTTGTGTTGGGGATGTTAGACAGGAAGCCAAAAGGTGGGTAGGCTTTAACTCCCTGTGTCCACTTCAATATAAGAAACCTCATTCTATCTGTTTTATATATTTGATTTTTATGTAAGGTTTCTCATTGCATATGTCCTCCTCCTTAGCCTCTACTTCAGATGTGTCACTGGTCACACAGTGTGGATCAGGAATCCACAACCCTGGATGCTATCTTGAGCATGAATTTATATTATTAGTCTTCTCACCAGCCCTGGGCACCTGGAGACCAGGAGCCAGTTCCTGATGTAAACTTCTCTCACCAGACACCATGAAGACACATGAGCACACAACTTAAAGCGTTGTGTCTACCTCCTGCTCCCCCTCTGACCAACCAAGAATCTCCCCTGAGCACATATCCTCCTGTTGCTTCTCTCTTGCAGTAAGAAGATGGTCTGCTTACCTCAACCAGTGACCCTACAAGCAAGTGTTACTGTTTTTCATGACCTGAAAATAGCCTGTGTGTAGTATCAGCCTGGGCACAGCATGTAGCCCTGGATTTCTATGGGTGAAACTTAATCTAGGCCATTATTACTACAGAAGAAGGTAGAACTCCCAGTTATTTACCCATAATTAGCCTCCTCAGAGGTGAGAGATGACTTATTTTACAAACCTTGATCTCCATTGCCCTTTTGAAGAGCCTTACATAGACACCATTTCAGCTTTCCTATTAACATTTAACTGTAACTGTCCCATATCCTTGGGCATCTGTACCCAGTATTCAATAGAAGAATATACAAAGAAACTCTTCTCTCTCTCTCTCTTTTTTAAATAAAACACCATGGAGCATATGAATTGTTTGATTGTTTGATTGGAATGGAATTCTGTCAGGCACAAAAATACGTGATTTACAGTCCATGGGATTAGAGAAAATAGTGGATGTTGGGTCCTCTGTATTGAAATAGCTACTGAAAAGAAGCACTTGAAACAAGGGATAAGATGAAAGGAGTAGAGGAAGAGGACTCCATTCACCATCCCTTACCATTGATGCCTCTGGATATCTGGAAAGTTTTGGGGATTGGAAAAATCTTCTGGGAATACAAGTGAAGTTTCTTCAGGTCAGTGTTTTCCAAACTTTGATCTTTGTAAATAACCTTGTATTAACCATAGTCCAGAAGAAAATAGATGGTGTGCTCCAATTGGGTATTTGAGGAAAATTTAACAGAAGGACTACTTACAAAGATGTAAATAAAGAGTGGTAGGGAACCACCATCTGGGGCCAGTGGCATTAGGGCTGGAGCACCAGAACCTGGAGACAAGCAAGGTTGTTGGACCTTCTGTCAAGAGATACAGCCAGCCTGCAGCAATCCTTCAGGGAGGGAGCCAGTAAAATAGATTCTCTGACCTCACTCCCTTCCTCCTTCCATTCTCCTGCTAGTGCTCATGTAGCAAAAAGTGACCTCAGCTGGAAGCCAGAGGGTAAGAAGCAGATTGATGGGGCCCCAACAGTCCTGGGGCACAGAGCAGAGCAGAAAAAGATGGAGAGTGAATGAGAAGGAAGGGGCACACACCTTCATCACTTTTCCCACATCCAGGTGTCTTCTGGCTTCTGTGTTGTTATTGTTGTTGAGTGCTGTCAAGTTGATTCTGTCTCACAGTAATCCCACATATAGAACAGCCCCACAGGCTTTTCTAGGGTCCAGTCTTTACAGGAGCAGATCACCAGGTCTTTTCTCCCACGGAGCCACTATGTGGTTAGAACCACCAACCTTTTGGTTAACAGCCAAGTGCTTACCTGTTGTACTACCAGGGCTTCTTGAATTCCTAATGATGTTTTTAATCTTTATTTTATTTATTAACTTAAATAAATATGCTTTAAAATGAAACTGTTAACTTGCTGAATCACTCCCTATAGAAAGGGCAGGGACAGCGATATAAGCAAAAGACTGCAATTGCTTCAATCTGGGCCAAGTCACCCAGGGCACAAGGAAAGAACACTGGCCTTTTTTCAGGCTGTGGAAATGCAGTCTCAAGGGCAGGTGATGCAATGAGAATACATACACATGCTTTATTTCCTGCACTATCAACCAGAGGCAGCAGGGGAAGTTACATACCCAAAGAATCCAGATGTTGCCCACTATGATGGCTTGGATTTCCGTATACATATATATATTTTTTTTTTTTCAAAACCAAAAACCTCTTTTTGTTTTACTCTCTTTCTTTACTCTACCCACATTCTCATCAAGAATCTCCCTGGAAACAGCCTTACCCTGAGCTAAATGAGGTTGTACTTCCTGTTTCTTCATCTTCGTGTAGTTGTAACATAGGAAATTGTTTGCCATTCCGGGACACCTTGTTTAGCACATGTTGTTGTTGTTATGTGCCGTCAAGTCAGCCCTGACTCATAGCGACCCCTCCTTGGGTTTCCGAGGCAGTATCACTACGGAAGTAGGATTGCCCAACCTTCCTTCCGAGGAGTGGCTGGTGGGTTTGAACCGCCAGCCGTCTGGTTAGCAGGCAAGTGTCTTAGCCACTATGCTACCAGAGCTCCCAGTCCTTCTTTAAGTTTCCCAGTGCCATGTTGCTTTTCTTCCAAGAATGTCTAAATCATATTTTGTATGCTTTAATGATGAAAATTACATTATGTGATGCTAAGCTAGTTGGCATTGAATTGACCTGCCTGTGTTTCACTGTCCTCATACTTTCAGGTTTGCTTTGGGGCCCATCCCGTGTTTCTTTGCTAATGTCTTCTTATTTTAAAACATCATGACACTCTGTCATATTTTATTTTGCTCCCCATCAGAAACTTTAGATCACTGCTTTAAATGGAGAACAAATTTTACTTTTCATAAATTAATCCTAAAAATAAGTACAATGAGAGCATAACAGTGTTTACAAGTCCAATCGGGCACTGTAGCCTGCTGAACACTCTAAAACAAACAAACAAACAAACAAACTCAGTGAATGTGAGTGAGATATTAAAAGAGTTTCATTGACCAGGTTTTGTCCCTGTACTTCATAGGGGTTTCAATGGCTGATTTTTGGAGGTAGAGAACAAGGGCTTTCAAGTGGAATGGAATGTCTAACCTTTCAGTTAGGAGCTCTGGTAGCATAGTGCCTAAGGCACTTGACTGCTAACCAGAAGGCTGGTGGTTCAAACCCACCAGCCACTCCTCGGAAGGAAGATGGGGCAATCTACTTCCATAGTGATACTGCCTTGGCAACCCAAGGAAGGGTCGCTACGAGTCGGGGCCGACTCAACAGAACATAACAGCAATAACAACAATCTTTCAGTTAGCAGGCAAGCATGTTAACACTCTGCACTACCCAGGACTTCAAGAGAAGCTTTAGAATTCCCTAAAATGCCTCACATTTAAACATCTCTTTTATTAATCCAGTTTGCTCTCTTTTTTTGTGGAGTTGATCTTCTGAACCTGAATGGAAGACTTTCCATTTAACCCAATTCAATTATGTATTTTTCTTGTAGTCTCTCCAACCTGACAGGACTTTTTCTTATCCTGATTTTGTCCTAAAAATATTTAGCTCTCCCTCCAAGCTTTACGATATCTTAAATTTTCATCGACTTCTTTTCTATTTCTATAGCCAAGAACCTGAAAGGAGAAAGTCATACCTCTGAGACCATCCTGCATATTCAACAAGCTGGGGATGAGCCTTCAAAAATATTTCTAAGTCAAAATTACCTTGACAACTTATGTATTATGAGAAAATTGTTAATACTTTTTATCTACAATAATCTCCTGATTTCCCAAACTAGTAAATGAGAAAGAAAAAAAGAGAAAGAGAGAGGGAGAGAGAAAGGATTAATTGTTTTGTCATGATACAATTCTCAGGAGCCCATGCAGGCTCCTAATAATTGCTATTTCATTTCTTAAATACAGGCAAACCACATTTTCAGTATTCTTGCCTGCATTTTGCTGGGGATCAACATCTAACTTCTTGATATTTAATTTCAGTAATATCTGTCTTCCCTCTTTTTGGTTACTGGAGCAAGTGTATCTGAGCATCTTCTAGTGGGGCAGTGGTGGTTTCAGTAGCAGAATTTGATTCTTGGTCAATGATCCTCAAGCACAGCCACCAACCATCTGACACAGATGGTAGAGGTTTGTGCGTTGCTACGATGCAAAACAGGTTTTGGCAGAACTTCCAGATTAATGCAGGTTAGGGAGAAAAGCCTGGTTATCTGCTTTCCAAAATCAGCCAATGAAAATCCTATAGAGTTTAACAGTCTGATCCACAATTACGATGATGGTGTAGCACCAGGCAGCATTTCATGTTTGATTACTGAACAAATGCCCTAATCACCATATCAGATCTTTTCAAAACAAGCTTGTAATTCAGAGCCTGGGTACTAGGATTGATTTAAAGCAGCTGAAAGTTCAAAAGTTCTCTTTCCAATTGAGGTCATCAGAATAATTTGCCACCCCCTAAAAAAAAAACAAAAAAAAAACACTTTATTACATATTTACTTTAAATTGTAAAAACAATACATGTTCCTTGTAAGAAATCAAACTATAGACATGTAGTTACCATAGCCCTGAGGTAATTAATGTTAATATTCTGGTATAATTCTTTCACACATTTTGCCATGTTAATGCATGTGCATAAAATATATGCACAGAAACAAAAACAAAATCATAGCACACATATCACTCTGCAATTTACCTTTGTCACTTAACATTGCATCATGTATATCCCTTCTGGTTACTCTACTTAGATCTAACTTTTGCTATGGCTGTATAACATTTCGCAGTATGGATATACCACAATTTAGTTAACCATTTTCTTTGTAATGAATGCTAAGGTTGGTGCCAGTTGTATTTATTTATTTTTCCAGCTACATATGATGCTGCAATAAATATTTTTCTATTTTTCTACATCTAATCTTGTAGTGAAGGAGCTCTGGTGGTGTAGAGGTTAAGGCATTTGGCTGCTAACGTGGTTGAAACCCACCAGTGTTTCATGGGAAAAAGATGAGGCAGTCTGCTTGGGTTAAGATTTTACCACCTTGGAAACCCTATGGGGGTTGTTACGAGTTAGAACTGACTTGATGGCGTGAGTTCGATTTGGAATCTCGTATACTTTATTTCTATATGATATATATGATAGATTTCTTTGGTCAAATTTGCTAGTCAAACGTTAGTAATGCTGGATTACTTTTAAAAAATGTCATAGAAATTCGTGAGCACTCCTCTGGCAGTGGTTGAAAGAACCTGTTTCCTGCATCCTCATACACACTTACATTTCTGCTTTTTCTAAACATTATGGGTCACATAGATTAAAAACGATACTTCATTGCTATTTTGGTTTGCATTTCCCTGTCGACTGATGAGGTGGACGATTTTACATGAGGCTGTGAGCCATTTGCATTTTCTTTCCCATGAATGCCTAAGCCCACTGTTGCTCTTCTTGGCTGTTTGTGCCCTAAGAAGAGGAGGTTGAACTCTTGGAATGTAGTCCGGGTGAGCTAAAGCTTCTCTACCTCCCCCTTTTCCTTACTCCCTCCTTAT